ATTAAACCTATAACCTCCCATATTTTAACAACTTCACTTGAATCAATATCCTTTATTAAAGCTATAATAGAAATTTGTGGCCGATCAAGTTCATCTTCTAAGAAACCGTTATCATAATCCAATTGTGTGTTTTCCTGACAAAGAAAATTTTAAAGTTTAATATCTTAAATGATTAATAGAGCTATAGGCATGAAGGTGTAATACTAAAACATAAAGCGACTAATATAAAAACGTAAGTAAATGCTATATTAAATAATTATTAACACAAATTCCCACCAAACCCTAATAAAAAAAAAGTAATTAATCTGTAATACTTGAATATCATCCTTTTGTCGTAACTGCACTCTATATAAAAGAGATCTTATGACTTGTTGTTGTTGCACAGCTAAAATATGAGGTGTTATATATAACCTTAATATCTCAACAACTTTCTGAAATACAGATTCGGCGATTGATGGTGCTTGATTAGTAGGAACTGAATTCAGGTAGCTATTATGTCTTGCCACTTAGCCTCATTATCCAAGAGATTTTGAATGTGGTCATAAAGATTACGCAATGAAGAAGTACCTTTTACACCTTCTTTAAGTAATTTATTCATCACTTCGATGCACTGAGTACTTTGAACTCTAGCTGTAAAGAACTTTAATTGATAATACTGAGCCCATGATTTAACACACCCTGTAATGTCCTGTTAAAATAATCTTGTGTCTGTGGATATTTTTCTAACAAACATGACTATCGCCTATAAAAGTCATTTTCAAATGTGCTATTTCGTGCATGTAAAAACTCTTTATAAAATTCATCGAATTGTTTTTCAAGTTTACTCCACAAATTTTTATAAATGTTCTCCTGTATATGAAAAATACTGAGAAAATGGTGTGTGGTAGGTAATTTAAAGGAAATTGCACTACTTAACGCAAGGTCAGTGTCAGAAAATAAAACTACTGGTGGTATGTTATGTGTTGCTTTCATAAGACATTCAAGAAACCATTCATAAGATTCAATAGTTTCATCTTCAAATAATGCTTGAGCAACTAACCGAGTCCTGGTATTATTGTCAATTACTACTAAAAGTGTGAGATACATGTTAAACCAATTTGTTTGATACGTATTGTCTGTTTGAACAATATCATTATAACGGATTAGAATTTGTTGTTGTGTTGGAGACATCCAAAATAATCCTGTTAACCTATTATCATATGGGTCCATACGAATATTAACAATCCAACCTGGATCCTGATTCTTTAGCTGCAACAGATGTTCAATGAAACTTTGTGCTTCCCTATGCTATTGAGTAGGTGTTGTTCGAAACTTTTGAATAGCATTATAAAGATCGTGTTTATGGATTGTATAATCAGGAAATTTCGCAGTCAAAAGTAGTAAGATTTGCTTAGATCCCATATTTCTCTTAGTGACATAAAACTCTATTGACTCCATGATCTCTGTAGATAGCTTTCTATACTTTGGGTCATATAACATGGCATCTGGCTGCATTTCATGGTTGTGCTCGCCTACTATACTCATAACAAGAATCACCGGAGATGACTTTGGTTTTGATAAATTCACATGCTATGTATATGAAACTTTTTTTGAATTTCTATTACATTGCTGAGAAAGATCAACAACTTTATTACTAATAGGCTTTCCAGAATGTGAGCATTCAAATATACGTCATCTAACTTCACTATCATTGTTGATTGTTACTCTTTTCTAATGTAATGAGAAACTAGCGGCTTTAGCATAACTGTTGAGACGTGCTTCAGCTAAGTTCTATGATATATAAGAAATGCCTACTGAGAGTTGATCTAATTCTACAACATCTGCATTTCCCGATTCTACAATATCTGCATTTTCTGATTCTACATCTTCTGTATTCTCTAATTCTACATGTTCCACATTTTCTAAGTTTACATCTTCCACATTCTCTAATTCCACATTTTCAAAATTGATCAAAGAGCTACTTACAGGCCCTAAAAAACTTTCACCTGAGGCTTCAAAAAAAAAAAAAATTTAAAAGCAGTCAAAGTTAATGTTTTGAGCATTCTATAAATAATGAATAATTTTATTGTTAATTCACCTTCCATAAGTTCCTTTCCAAATACTTTTGTTAGAGAAAATACTGCAATAAAGGAAACATGATAGCACAAGTAATACACCAACACAAAAATAAAAAAATTATGAAGACAAAAAGCACACAAGAAAAAAACCACGAGAACGAAATAGAATACAAGCATCACTGAAGAATTCAAAAATAAAACGCGATGGCAAAAGAAGAGCGACCAAAAGAAAAGCGATGGTAAAAAAAAAGTGACGGCAAAAGGAAAGTGACGACAAAAGAAAATTGATAGCAAAAGAATATGACAATAAATGAATCACGATAATAAATAGCACGACAGTAAAAGAAGCACGTTGGTAAAAGAGGCACGGCAATGATAAAGAAACACAGCCACAAAAAAGTACGACAGAAAAAAAGCACCACTAAAAGCGTGATAGCAAAAAAGTTCAGCAGTAAAAAGTGCGATACAAAAGAAATATGGTTGCAAAATAGTATATAATGGCAAAAAAAAGTGTACTAGATCAGTATTTGTAAAGGTAAATTTTAAGTTGTGTAAAGTTCTATTCTAACAAATTTTAATTAACAGTTAAATGAAATTCTACATACGGTACTATACGTATATATGATGTGAAATTATTTAATTAGCATATGTAACTATAGTGATGATCACCATGGGTTATTTTAATAATATTTCTTATAGGAATTATATATATTATATTATATATAAGACCTGATAATTGCTCTACCCCACCCCTTTAAAAAATCAGCTGATAAATGGTGCTCCCTTTAGTGTAATAAGAAGTGCATACCAAATTCTGAGTAGTTTTGCTTTTGTTGAGGATAGACAATTTCTCACTCTGAAACAGCCCTTATTTAATACTTCACTTTCATCTTTGTTTATTCATATCCAACTAACTTCTATTTTGGCTGGCTCAGTTTGAACTGAACTGTTCTCATATCTTAAAGATCTATCTGTGTAGAATATTACCAGATGCTAGGAGATCTTTTTTGCTACTATGTTTCTCTTGATGAAGTCTTCTTGTATTTTTAGACTGATATGCTAGTTTTTAATGATTTTTGTATCCAGATCAGAGATATATATTTCTTGCATTTCTCTTTTATCTGCTAAAAGCTCTAGTATAGAGA